TCCTATTATAAATTGATCGGCAACAACAACAACACATTATCGGTTTTTCGAAAACCTATGCGTAATCCCAAAACAAGACTTTCATGAAATCACAAACCTTTATATAAGCCCACATAGAAAAACACATGAATCCATGTCACATCTTAACAAATGTCTACTTATGTTTCATATGATACATAGAGGCATACTCATTAGGTCCTGGATTTGACAGGCCACGAGCATTTATGGTAATAGAATTGTTATTTTTATCCAAGAGACATGTACAAAAAATTGCGCTTGGTTCCACGGGTAATAATAGTAGGTCAAACAAGATTGTAGCTGAGCAATTGACAAGGGTCAAACAAGAGCTTCGGAAGTAACAAAATATTATTCTTACACGATTATGATCAGAACAATGGGAAACCTAACAAAGCAGTTTCTCTGTTCAGTGAGGGCTTACTCTTAATGTGTTTGGTTACAATACTTTGATGCGAAAGGTAAAATGGTTGATAACGCGTATCAGGTTTTCTCGAAACAGCAAGGATTCAATTGCTTACACTGTGCTTGAACGGTTGCAATCTGACCACATCTCATGGAAAATCAAGGATCCGTAGGAAGTATCCGATAGGTCAGCCCCTTTGAAGACCCGTAAATTAGTGAAAAGGAGGTTTTGAGAACGATCCTTGGCTGAAGAATGGACTCTCCAGATTCTCGAGTTTCTAATGAAGACTCCAACATTATGCATTCTCATATGTTGCTAATTTTGCTGAGAATCCTAAAATATGGACTGGACTAAATTTGCTGAGAAACAAGGTCATGTCAACTAAATGCACTTGTTGACAAGTTAATTTAAATAAGTTTAATTCAAACATAAATTACGAAACTAAATACAAGTCCATGTCCATAATATAAAACTTTCTAGCAAAACATACATAAAAAAAAAAACCAAAAAAGTACCCAAGTTGTGAATAAACAAGAGTAGCTGCAACGGTAAAGAGACCCATACTCATGTTGTGGAGGCTACCTTGGCCTAGCAAGGAATCCGGTACTTCCCTCGCCTAGCAATGAATCTCTTGTGTTGGTGCTCGGCAAGAAAAATCCAACAACGATCACACCCCTTAAAGTTAGGGAAATTAGAGAAAACCGATTGATTCTTGTCCTTCATAACAAAAAGAGGGTAATCTCCCATGTAACCTCCACCGAGGGCTAAGGCCTTTTGTTCTTCAACCACGCAAACGAAGGCAATACTGTAGAAAAGAAAGGGTGGGGGTCAATCTTCTTCTTAAACTTTTTGACTTGTGCAAAAAATAATGGAGACAAGGAACAGGCCACAAACCCTAAGGGAACACCGGTTCTGCACTCTATGGGAACAAAAACCCTTCGGACATCACATCCAAGTGACTCAAAGCGTTTCCACAATGCGGCCCTGATAACATCCCTAGGAAGGGCAGTGTCAAATCCCCTAACGAAAATATAATTACAGTACATTCCGTCCGCATCTTTAGTATCAAAACAGCACTCAAATTCCCCCGTTTTCTTTGGGAGCTCTTCCTCCTAAAAAACCAGCAGTGGAAACTAAACAATCAGCTATAAAGCGTAAAGGATTATCATTTGTCAGCCTACAATATAAACAAAACCTGCAGTTTTTTTTTCAAAGCCTCTACGAGAGATTTCCTCACTTTCTTCAGTTCCTGCCATTCGATAAAAAGAAAAATGATATAGAATATCTTATCGAGGGAAAATACAGAATTGAAGCATTCTTGATTCAAAGTTTTCATTATTCATCGAGAAACAGGGCAGCTAAGCAAAGTATCATGGATGGATGGATAATTAATTTCTTTTACAACTTTCTGACCTCTATCTCAGATATCTTCTTGGATTGCAAATCATCTTCATCAATTTGCTACAAGGGAGAGAGATAGAGAGAGGGCTTATTAAGTTTCTCAAACCAAGTAATTCTTGATTTATGTCAAGCCTAAGAATAGAGTTAATTGTTCCTGACCTTGCTCTCAGATTTCTTCTGCTTCTTTACATCGGTCTGCAGCTCACTCTCAGCTAAGAGAAATAAAAAAAAGTACACTTCAAATCAGCATAAAGCCAATATATTGACTTGTAATAAGCAATTGAACTGGGATTGCATTGGTTAAAACAGTCTCTAGCAATAAAGAAACCAAAATTTCTTACCTATCTGCAAAGGCTTCTTGTCCTTGTGATCTGATGCTTCAGCATCCGTGGTGGATGTGGAGCATCTCTTCAGTCCCTTACGCAGCTCTTTGCCCATGTCGAAAGACAGAGATGAACAGAGCAAGCGGCTAGCTAGGTTTCAGGAAGCAAGCAAGAATGATGATATAATCTTCTTCTTTTATTCCGTTATTATATATTATGGGCTTGACTTGTTTTGTGGGCCTGTTTTTTTTTTTTTTTCTCAAACGGTTCTGGTTTTTGGTTTTTTTGTCAAACAAAAATATTTTTTTTCAGGGGACATATACTACGAGCTTCAAACGATGAGTTTGGTTCTGAACCGTTTCATGTATAAACGCTTTAGAGGCATACAATAATCAAACAACCATATATCCAAATATAAACAACAATTTGATGAGTTTGAGTCTGTGTTTCATTTCACACAAACTAAGTTTATTCAGTTTGAGTTTCATGTATAATGAATGGTGCAGCCTTTTCTCAAGTTTTCCAAGATATCAAGAAAAGACATTGTAGAGGAGATGAATATTCACAACTACGGACGGGGAGGATCGGTAAATATAACGAAACCAAGCGGTTTCTCTGTTCAGTGAGACGATTACTCAAGGGCTTTGGTGCGGGTAAAACCGTTGAAGCTATAGAGATGCTGAGCAAGATTCATGAGAAAGGTGTAGTCACTGATAATATGCTGTACTACACTGTGGTTGGTTACAATACTCTGATGCAAGTACTAGCGGAAGGTAATATGATTGAGGTTTTCTCCAAACGGGTATTCTTCTACCTAAGAGTAACCATGTGCCTTTCTTCGTCTAAAATATCATGCACCCCTGATATGCCTGCTGGTATGTTGTTGAAAAGGACACTAAAAAACTTTCTAGTGTGTTTGTCTCAAGAAATTACTACTACTCAATTGACAAGCGAAGGCGGATTTTTCGTGTTGGCTCGGTAAGATGGCTTAGTGGGAAACCTTCAGGCAATGTTAGCCAGCTCCGTTGCAAGGTAAGGAACATAACCATTTACTTTCTACAGACAATGGTTACTCGACACTGATAAGTTGAGATAGCTCCGACATGGACCTGGCTTCTACAGCTGCAGTTTTGAAATGGAATTAGAAGGAAATGTTGCGGTTGTACACCTAGACGAAGACGATCAAGGTCATGCTGCAGGACAGTTTGCAGCGTTCTAAGAAGGAACTGCTTGCATCGGGTCAGGAGTAATGGTGGAGTCATGCATGGGATGATCAGTGTTCCCCGCCCGGTCTGTGCAAAAGCCCTTCACCTCGCAGCGATGGAAGACAAAACCAAACTCGGGAAACCGGTCAAAATCATGACGACACCATCCGTTGAGGCTGATCAAGCAGAATCCAGTGCAGAAGAAAAGCTGGTCAATGCACGTGACTAAAGAATGTGGTAGATCCGAAGTTTAGCTGGCTGAGAAGCTGACAAGATCATACTACGAGCTTCAGCATTTGATGGAGATGTGTTGAGATATGAATTATATTAAAATTGAAAGCTTGAAAGGGCTAAAAATGGTTCTTGAAAAACGCTCTTGCATCGAAACAACAATAAATGATGTTTCTTAATTCGCATCTCTCCAATTCCCCAAAAATATAATCTAACAAAGAAAGCAGAACATCCTCTGTTTCTGTCTTCTCCAGCAATTTATCTGCAATTCCTGCAGCTTTTGTCTTTGTCCCTGTTGGTGTCCTCTTCTTGATCTCAGGCCTCATTGTCCGTCTCAGTAAATTCTTGTTTGTCGAATTGAAATTTATGTTTCACAGATCATAGGATAAGCAAACAAGTCACATTTCCAAATCAACTTAAATCATCTCATTACACAATTACGACACTAACATAATCACTACACTTAAAAAAAGTTTTTTCCATTTCAATAAAATACTCTTGTCTTACTTGTCTCATGCGATACCAACCAAAGTCTTTTAATACTCCCAGTTAGATGATAGCTTTTTAGTCTCCTTTCCCTTGATATGGCATTCTCTGACTTTAAGGCCCGAAACACTAATCTTTTTTCCTACATATTCAGGCTTCAATTCCATGTAGAGATAAACACAATTTCCTTCATCTGTACCGAAAAAGAAGTGGAGGATCTTTCCGAATTTGCTGAAATCTTTTCTCACTTGGTTGCTGATGCCAGCTCGATCCAAATTCCGATTGAAATTTGTGATGCCAATAAAGAAATCAATGTGAATAAGTGGAATTTGGATTCAC